TCAATAAAGATTCACTCGTTGATCTTTTATCACCTTTCACTAATGTCATGCATTTCTGTCTCCAAATGACTCATGAGAAGCAAGTTGTTATGGGAAACTAACAATGTGTAACTAGTTTTAAAACATTGTACAAAAGTGATAGATGTGTGTTTCTTTGGCCAAGCTTGTTTTGCCAAATTATTGGTAGCTCAAAGTTTAAAGCTGAGATAATCAATGACTTGTCAACTATTCATTTCATCACCCAAATATTGATGGGAGAATAACAAAAAAAGGTGAATATTTACTTAAATGAGAGTAAGCTGTATTTCTTGACTTGTGGACCAACTAGTCTTGTACTTTAAGAATAACTGATTGAACACAAAACTGATCATTTAATGAAGACAATAATTGACGGATGAATCAAAAATAAAATGAATCGTTGTCTCACCATATACATATTTATTTTTTTCATAGGTTTACACTTTTTTTTTTTCTCAATTAAATTATTTTTAACAATATCATTATATCGATTTCAACCATATTGCCTAGCCATAGCTTTGAGTACACAGAACGAAAAATGAAGCACATTTGTCTTTACTTTAAATCAATGCAGTATACAGTATTGATCAAACAGCAGTGTGTGAGTGTGTGTGGTTGGGGGAAGTTGGCAGTTGAAGATATTATCAACGTCATATCAGTCAGACAGTTGGGCTATTATTATTATTACTATTATTATTGTTGTTATGATAATGTAACGTTGACAGTGATGTAATGCTAAATAACACATGCCCAGTACGGTGAAGGAAACCGTTGAGTTGATTGAGAACGTTTTCTTCACATACAAAGTGATGTTGCACAGCACTGATTCTGAAGTCAAAGGTCTTTCAGGATTAGACACACACGTTGTTATGCTTCATATGGTTCAATGCTTTTTTTTCAGTGATTTAAAAAAAGCTTCCTCATGATCTCTGATAACTATACTGTTTGGTTTGGGAAGCCAAGATTTGTCTGCTTGGTGCAGCAGTAAAATAATGAAAGAAATGTGGGCACAGCTGCACGCACGCACACGCGCACACACACACACACACACACACACACACACACACACACACACACACACACACACACATACCATGTATACATCACTTCAGGGGACATTACATTGACTTACATGCATTTCCTGGAGACTTATCCTAACCTTAACCATAACCAACACATGCTTAACCCTAACCCTTACCCTTAACCTTAACCTTACCCTAATCCTAAACCTAACCTTAACCAACACATGTCTAACCCTTAACCTTACCCTAATCCTAAACCTAACCAAGTCTTCACCCTAAAATTAATGATTCCCCTCATGGGGACCTCCATTTTGTCCCCATAAGGGAGGCGAGTCCCCACACGTGACTGTGTAAACAGATTTAGGTCCCCACAAGTATAGTAATGCTAGGCCACACACACACACACACACACACACACACACACACACACACACACACACACACACACACACACACACACACACACACACACACACACACACACACATGCACGCATAGTATCACGAGTCCAGAGGAGAGAGAGTGGATCGATCCAAAGACAGTGGGTCTGGTTGATATCTCCGCTCCTCCCTCTCTCCTTCTTCTCTTCTGCTCGCTTTTCCAGTTTTTCTCCCTCTGTCTGTTCTGTCTCTTTTCTGCGGCTTCACTTTTTTCTTTCCCTTTTTTCTTCTTTCCTTTCTTCGTCTCCTCTGTTTTTCTCTCCCTTGTCTACACGCACACACACATGCGCACGCACGCGCGCGCACACACACACAGACACACGGAGTAATGAACACCTCAAAATCCAAGGCACGATCTTGCTATGGCCTAGTTTTAAGAGCTTCCAATGTCACGCGAGTAAAAAATAGACTTGCGGAAAACAATATTGAGATCGGCGGTAATAGAGCGGGATCAGTCGGGCTCCTCCGAGCGTGGCGGTTTTGGCATGACTTTAGTCTGAAGACGATAATCTCGCCGGCTGGCCTGTTTTCGGTGCACAGGTGGCTGCGTTTGAGCTCTCTGGGGTAAAGACACACTCCTTAGTGGTGATCCAGGGGTCAGAGCACTCCGCTGTAAACACTGGAGAGATCACAGAACATTAACATGGTCGGTGTTGTCTTTATGAAGTTGTTGTTGTTTACAGAATCATCATATCAAGCTGGATTTAGTCCGTTTAGTTTTGATTCGTTCAATGTTCAACATTTCTGTTTATCCGGGAAAAGGGGAGAGTGTGTGTGGCATAGTATTTTTCCTTTAAAAATAAATCATTTTCATTGGCTGTGATTCTCAACCATGAAGCATTACAAACCATTGTTTAACTTTATAAGATAAGGAACTTTTTTATAAGGAATATTTTATTCTTTTCATTCCCCTATTCCTCAGTGGTTGAGATAGTAAAGGTGGTCTTTTTTGTGTGTTTATATCCTCCTTCCGCATTTTTTATCGTAGGTTTATATCACAACTCTAGCTATTTTTAACTGTATTTAATTGTAGGCTGAATTGCTAATCGATAACATTTTAATATTGGAAAAATGTGTTGAGTAAGAGTGAATTACATTAGTTTAGTTAAAGCTTTCAAATGAAATAGTTTCGGGATCAGCATCAAATCAGTTTGATTGGTACAAGTAATCAAAAATTGAAATCATTTTCATCCTAATTTATATTCTGGTGGTTGTTTTATTTTTCTTCTGTTGACACGGTTTATGTGAGGTTGTTTCTTCTTCTCTTGGGCAATGTGGTGAAAACGTTCAAAATGTGATATTATTTCTTAGTGTCCACATGCGACAGTATTTACATTCACCTACAGATATCTCAGCGAAATGAATGTGAATACCAATAAGAGTTTCTCCTAATCAGTTGAGAGGAGTTGGGGGGTTATCCCCTTATTAAAAAAATATCAATTTTATGGATTTTTATTCAACATTAAATTGGACTTTTTGCGCAGCGCTCTTTTTACCTCCACATCAACCTGGTGTGTGGTGAGGAAAGATGGCAAATTACAAATCAGTCCGAATAATCTCTTTTGCTGGGCTCCTCCTGCTCAATCAGTGCAGATCTTCTAAATCTCAGACCCACTACAGTAGGGTCTCCACTCAAACACAATAAAGTGCAGTTTGAATAATCATTGTCCAGCTGCTCAGTCTTTGTTTACGTGTTTTCTCCGGCATTTCCTTCGCTAAATGGAAGGGCTAAATGCAGTTTGTATTGATCCATTAGGTGGCCATCAGCTTATTGATCCCGCTCTGACCTGATCGAAGTTTGGCCAGTGTGTCGATTGATTAAATGATAATTGCGTGTGTGTGTGTTCTCTGCAGGCGAGGCTGTGGGAGGAAAAGGAAAGGGACCCCCATGAAAGTCTTTCTTACACACACCGAGGAAGAGTGTGTGCCTGAACGCAGCTTTAGCCCAGGTGTGTATTTCTGTGTGTTGGCTTGCCATATTCTTCTTGTGTGTGTGTGTGTGTGTGTGTGTGTGTGTGTGTGTGTGTGTGTGTGTGTGTGTGTGTGTGTGTGTGTGTGTGTGTGTGTGTGTGTGTGTGTGTGTGTGTGTGTGTGGTGTGTGTGTGTGTGTGTGTGTGTGTGTGTGTGTGTGTGTGTGTGTGTGTGTGTGTGTGTGTGTGTGTGTGTGTGTGTGTGTGTGTGTGTGTGTGTGTGTGTGTGTGTGTGTGTGTGTGTGTGTGTGTGTGTGTGTGTGTGTGTGTGTGTGTGTGTGTGTGTGTGTGTGTGTGTGTGTGTGTGTGTGTGTGTGTGTGTGTGTGTGTGTGTGTGTGTGTGTGTGTGTGTGTGTGTGTGTGTGTGTGTGTGTGTGTGTGTAGCTGTGTGATTGGTATGGGGGTGGAACGTGTGCAAGTGAGTGTGACCTACTTTTGTGTGTGTGTGAGTGAGTGTGTGTGAGTGTGTGTGAGTGCGCTTCAATGTTCCTCTGTGTGTGTTCTTCAGGAGATGAGGTGATGACCTTTGTGTGTGTGTGTGTGTGTGTGTGTGTGTGTGTGTGTGTGTGTGTCCAAGCATACTTGTATTTAATCCTTTTATACTGACTGTTGCTCTCAGGTGATCGTAAAGAAGCAGCAGAGAACCAACGGCTGGACGGGCCTTTCTACAACGCAGAGCTTGCTCCTCACCACTGGTCAGTACACAATTGTGTCGTTTTTTGGGCAGAATAAATAAATGTTATTTAATTTATTTAGAGATAGAAAAAAGCTGATGACTAAATTACCTACTAAGATAACTAAGGCTAACATGTTTGAACAAAAATGGATGATATACTTTTTTGTAAAGTACATCAAAAAAACTTCAATTGCAAATTGCAGCCTTATTTTCTTCCTCTGAAACTATGAAAACATGCTCTGTGGTAACAACATTAGTTGTTACGTTCGATCTTCTTCTCTTTGTTTATTTGTTGTTCTTTTTACTGATGCATATCACCACCTATTGTACCTAGTGTGCAGACGCTGCACTAAACAGTATGTGGTTTTTGTTGACAAAAAGGATTTGTCTAAAGGCTTCTTCTTTTATTTGGCTTTTAGACTTAGCTTTGTCTGAGAGCAGCACTTCTGAATCTTTCCTCATCACTCTCCAAATCTGTTGGTTTTCATATAATCAGGCTGATTTAAAAAAATGCTGTTAAATATATGAAAATGTCGGATAGTCAAATGAGCAGCACTGTGAGGGCGAGGAAATCCCTGCCCTGCAGCTCTGGCAGGAGCTGGTGTGTGGATTCTCACTGATAGATTTACACTTCATCCGAGCATCCCCACAGCAAAGAAGTGGCTAGAAGACAGTAAATAAATTACATCATAACAATAGTGCTGTTCTTCTTCTTCATATACCTTGATTAAGAAGCACCATTGCATCAGGTTGTTACAAATAATTTAATAGTGATGGATATTAAAGCCACTACCAACCTATAACGATGGTTAATTACCACATCAATCACATCACCAGGACTGCCTTTTTCCACCTCAAAAACATTGCCCGACTCCGCCCATCACTCTCCTCTCTCTGCTGCTGAAACCCTGATTCATGCATTCATCACATCACGACTCGACTACTGCAATAGCATCCTCTACTATGGCATACCATCCAACCTCCTCAATAAACTGCAACATATCCAGAACTCTGCTGCCCGCCTCCTCACCCACACCCGCTCCAGAGATCACATCACTCCCGTCCTCCAGAACCTCCACCGGCTCCCCGTCCGTCAATGAATCGACTTCAAAGTCCTCCTGATTACTCACAAAGCCCTCAACAATCAGGCCCCCCCCTACAGTACCTCACAGACCTGCTGCACCACCACACCCCTTCCCGCTGCCTCCGCTCATCAGAAGCCAACCTCCTATCCATCCCACATCAATCACTGGACCTGGGGGGACAGAGCCTTCTCGGTCGCTGCCCCCTCCCTCTGGAACTCACTCGCCCAACCCATCAGAGACTGCACTGACCTCACCACCTTCAAAACACTCACCTCTTCAATCTGGCTTTTAATGTGTGATTGTTTTTGTGTTGCTTGATTTTAATTTGACTTTAACTATATTTATTTGTTGTTCTTTTCTTTTCACTATCTTTGTAAAGCGACTTTGAACACCTGTAAAAGCGCTAACAAAATAAATCTATTATTATTGTTATTATTATAATTTATTCTTTTTCTGAATAAGTTATGAATCATTCATGCAAAAAAAGATTTTAAAAAAAAACCTCCACATTTTCCAGATCCCAAATCTCCTTAACAAGAATACAAAGAAGTGTAAAAAACAAAAGAAATATCTTTGAATTTACAATAAATTATAACAGAAAAGAAAAAAACACTAGGATAAATAAATAACCTTTTTGTCAGATTAATGAATCCAACAATGAATGAATAAAATAAACAACTGCATTATATTGTCTGATGAAGGTGGTGAATCTAACCTTTCTCCTCACCTCCAGCTCTCCATCAGCTCAGACTCATGATAAAGTCTCCTCCGGACCCCGGACCGGCTCCTGCTCTGCGTCTACCCCAGCTGCTGCGGCCTCCTCTGCCCCCCCTGCACCGGTCCCCTCTCTGTCCCCCGCCTCCACGGCCCCGGCAGCACCCACCGCCTCTGCTCCGGCCCCAACAACCAGCCCGTACCTCCCCTCTCCTAACTGCCGCATCCGAGAGGTCCACTGTGGCAGCCAGGTGCGTCTGGTGGTCATTGCCATCCGAGACATCACCAAGGGGGAGGAGATCACTGTGGACTATAGCCTGACGGAGTGGGGGGAGAACCTGGTACGTGCCTTTGAAAACTGATACACACACCACACGCAAACACATGTCTCTGAAATGTCACGACACAACAAAGTAGACTTTTCAACCTGCTGTTTTGTGACGTGTCGTGCATTTAGATTGTTCTTCCTGATAGATTAAGGTAGACAACCTGAACAACCCTCTGATATTTCCCATGCAGCTAGTGTAAAGAAGTTGGAGAACATTTTTTACATAATTTCATCTAAAATCAAGTGTTGAAATTGAAAAGCAAACCTGACTCACCATTTTACACAAACGGAAGCCTCAATAGACCTGAACACAATCCATCCACAAGACATTATGTTTCTGATTAAGCAGAGCTACATGTAAGCTCTCGCACTTATTTAAATTTGTTCTAAATCTTACCTAAACTTAAACCTATTGGTTAACTAATTTGAAGCTCAAATTTTTGTTAATTCTGATCCAAAACCTGTAACTTCGGCCAAGAAATAATCTCACTTTTGTTCACCTGTCTGTCCTTGTCTACTACATCAAGTATAAAAATACATTTTATACACTCCATATGTCTGATAACTTCAGGTACACAACCGTATGTGCTTTCACCAGTGTTGGGCAAGTTACTTTTAAAAACTAACTAGTAATAGTTATAGTTACTGCTCTCAAAAAAGCAACTAGTTACTTTATTAGTTACTAAATTATAAAAGTAACAAGTTACTTTACTTTAAAAATAATAACAATACAAATATGTATTGGTGGTGGGCGTTGCCATGTATGTGTGTGTGTTAGCAAGTGTCTGTGTATTTTCCCCATAAGGCAAGACCCGCCCAACTCTGCCTCTGATTGGCTTACCCTGAAATGTTACCCCGCGTTAACCAATCATCACTCCTCTCTGGTCACTTTCTCTTTTCCATGGTACTGTGAGAGGACATCGCTGTATTCGCCTGTAAGCTACATCCGCAGGGAGATTCGGTTCAGTTCCATCACATAATGTAACGCAGTAACGCACCCATTTAAATCACAGTAACTATAACGGCATTACTGAATGGGAATAGGTAACTAGTAACGCTATTAGTTACCGCAAAAAGGTAGTTGCGTTACAGTAACGCGTTAGTTTGTAACGCGTTGGTCCCAACACTGGCTTTCACACACTGCTGATCAGCTTCACACACACACACACACACACACACACACACACACACACACACACACACACACACACACACACACACACACACACACAGCTGCACACACTAAGCAAGGCATGGGGTTACCATGGTGATGGTTGAGCTCCACTTCTCACTCCACCTATAGTGCTTTAGCAACAGTAACCATGGTTATACCAAGACATCTGCTCCTTTAATGGATGTCACTTCATCGGATCAATTTTCTCAACAAAATGATGATAAGAGAATCCGTTTAAGGAAATGAAATTGACAGCAGAGGTTGAGGTGAGGCCTCGGTTGCTCACAGCCATATAATTATATGTTAAAGTTGGAGCAGACATGTTTTTTGGTTTGATCCATCAGTATGGACTAAATGGTGATTATACACAGTAATGGTTGTAGGATAATGACGCTATCAGAGTTCACATTGTTTCCCTAAAACATTTCTGTCTGCCAGCTGGTGTGAACTCCTGGGAAAATATAGACTCAGTTAACGGGATAAAGGAAGTGTGTCAAGCGATTCTCAATCAAAACAGGAAGAATATAGCACTTTGTTTTCCACCTGAGGCCGCTATCCCCTAACCCCTAACGGTATCAGTGCAGTAACTACCTCAAGTAGGGGAAATGGAGCAACTGAGGAAAATATAATGTGTCCTGACAACGCCATACACTTATCTGAATATTGTTTAGTCCTAAAAATATGATTTGGCTGCAGGCAGAGGAGCTGTGGACTGTGATTACAGCTTCACCAACAATAATACCACATAGAAACACTAGGGGGCGGAAAGTGACAACGTTTCAATGTATTCCAACCTTAAGCAATGTGTTTAGCTCACACAGTGTTTGAGAATATCCAATCTTTTCCTGTTTGTTTGGTTTGTCAGTGAGTTTGAGTCCTTATGGTCCTCTGTGCTGATGACCTGCAGCGGACGGGTGGCGTCCTGCTCTCTGATTGACAGCTGAGGCTGATAGCAACAGTAACTAACAGTGTGCTGGTTTTAACGTGACTGCTTTGTGTCCCACAGAGTTTCCGTGGTCCTGCGTCTCCAGCACAACACGAGTGTATCTCCGACAGTGAGAATAACAATAATATCAAAAAGGTAAGAAAAAACACACTTTTCCCTAAAAGCACAGTTAGACTGACAAAACATCCGTTTTACTAATTTAAGAAGTGACCATTAGACAATGAACACTATTAATTGTAGACAACCTGCTCCCTTCTAAACAGTAGACACAGTTAGTGATCAGCTGGTGAACATAATGAGCTTTTAACTAGTTCCCCATATTCATGATATTCAGATAATGATCATGTCATTGTAGCAAAGTAGCCACACATACATATCATTTTAAGACACAACTTCAACTTGAGATATTTGGTTGCTTTGGAAACTTTTCCATCTTCATCAGAACATAAAATCTGTGATTGTCAGCTGTATTTGGAGGTCAACTAAACTACATTTATTTCTGTTTACAAAGAATCAACCTACACTGTTTAAGAGACTATTTTAAATATAGTGAATACATGCATTGCATTTGATAATGAATTATGCTATGCAGTAAGCTTCTCACAACGATTACTCCCTATCACTGCGCTGTAAAAAGCAGCACTGATTCTGAGCAAACTGAGTATTAGTGAGTAAATGTAGATGCGGTTGTAATGCGCCACAGTGCCTGCAGGATGCCACATGTCTGGATGTGGGTGGACAACACTAATGTTGGACTCAACATAATCATTATAATAAAGTTTTACTCCCCCTGTTCTGGATAATTGTTTTATTATGTGTAATAATGATTCAACATATCATCAGCTTTAACTCATTATAGTAAAGCAGCATACAGTAAGTAACCTGCTGTCTGCTGTTTGCCACACATGCTGTGCCGACAAATGCAATAAACACCACTGATTCTCTAGCCGGTGATTCATTTTTGCTTATTGCTTTAAAATGAAACAACTCTCCCGACTGTGCATCTAATTACACTGATCCAGTTTGTAGCATGGTGGGTAGTTAGTTTAAAGATCCCAGTGGTTTACATTGACCACTGTGGGAATCAGGGACCAGACTTCAGGAACACAAATCTGGATTCAAATAAGAAAAAGAAAATATATTGAAAAAGTATTTTATGATATATTTTGTATTATGTTAATTTTTGCATTGAACACTCTGAATACTTTAACGGTCACTTTAAAGGTGTGCAAAACCCACTTTTTCATGTTTAGGTCTGTGTAAAGAGATTCTGAAAGTTTCAGGAAAAAAGATTCTCTCACTTTTTGTCCTGATCCATTTCTATAAAAACCTGTCTGAAAATGAGCTGATGATCTGGGCGTAGGGAGGGGCTCCTTATTTTCATCTAAAGTAACAGACACAGAATCAGCACTTTTGAAACAGGGCTGAAACAGAGGGGATTATGGGATGCTACAATGATGTGTTTGGTATTTGGAGCCTAACACTTCAGAGACATGTTTTGTATATATCTGAGACCTATTCTATATCGATGAAAAACAGTATATAGGGGACCTTTAAAAACACCTCCGGACATCAGGTGACATGTTCTTTTTTTCACTTCCCTTTCTCTCTGTCTCACTTCCAGGAGGAGGAGCCTCTCTCCGTGTCAGCCCAGCATCGGCAGCAGCAGCAGGAGTATGTCACCCCCTCATGGTCCCTCTCCCCCTCCTCCTCCCCCATCTCCCACTCTGATGCCAGTGACTCAGACTCTGCAGAAGAAGACAACGCAAGCCCTCGCGGCCGGGCACAACAGCGGCGCAAGAAGAGGCGCAACACTCCTTCAAAGATAAAGACCCCCCATCGGACACTAGCCGGGCGGTCTTCGCTGGCTTCGCCCAACAGCATTCCTCCTCACAACCGCCCGCTTTCTTCATCCCACCCTCCAGCGCAGTCCTCCTCTCCCTCCTCCTCTTCTGCTAAGCTTGTGTTCAAAGCTCCGGCTCCACATGGCTCTATCACCAAAGGCATCAGCAGCGCAAACGCCCCCAGAGGCGTGTCCATAGACGCCATGCGGCAAACCTGCGAGCACTGCGGACGTCACTTCCGCTCCCTGGGCCGCCACTTGGATAAACACCATGCCCACCAACCAGAAGTGTGCTCCGCCCTCGTGGAGCGCTACACACAAATGCCCCGTCTGCATCCACAGAGCACAAACCCTCCCACCGCGCACACACACTCTCCGCAGGACTCAAAGTCGCCACAGAGCGAAAGACAGAGTTCAGAACTTCCGCAGATTGGCGCCCAGGACCTCTCCATGCCTCCGCCCACTCTCACAGCAGCTAACCAATCCCCTGCCTCCTCTGGGAGAAACTCCACCTCTCCGGTGCTGACTCCTCCACAAGGACAGAGCGCCGTGCCGGTGTCCGTGCTGAAAAGAAGCCTCCCCCCTGTGGCTGTGACGCAGTCCAGGAGGGGATCAATGGGGATGATGGAGACGGAAAGACAGGGGGAGGAGGGAGAGATAGAGGAGGAGGAAGATGATGATGTGGAGGTCGTGGAGATAAAGAGGCCCAAGGAGGAGGAGGAAGATCTTGAGGTGGTGTGCCCTCAGCACTTCATCAGCAATTTGGCCAAAGAGATGGAGCCACCAAAAGAAGAGGAGGAGGAGGAAGAAGAAGAAGAGGAGAATGGAGTGATGGAGGTGGAAGATGAAAGTGGGACAGACGAGAAGGACAAGGATTTGATGAGGTAACTTTACGACTTTTCCTGCTTTGTGAGCAAATCTGTAGGATGATTATTTTATAATACATCACTTTGTTTACAAAGTGAATTGTTCAACCAACAGTCCAAAACCCAAAGAAGTATAATTTACTCTCATGTTTTACAAAAAAACCCATCAAATTCTCAAATGTCACATGCTTAAACAAGTGATCCACATTTTGGTTTATAAAGGTTATCATTTAATTATTAGAACAGTTGCAGATAATCAAAAGAATTGTTATTTGCACAGATATCATCTAATATTTCCCCTCTTGCCGGACTCTGTTGTTACATGTTAGCTCGTACTTTAAAACATTGACACAGTTAGACTGTAGGATACTGTAACAAACCATTAAGTTGTTCCAAGTTATTTGAACTAACACTATAAGAATGAATAACTAACCTCATGTTCACCACCTCTCTTCCTCCAGTGGTTCGGGGCGTCACCACATGCTGCCCCTCCTCTCGTCCTTGTCCTCTCTGGTGCTGTACCTCCGGCGGCTGCAGCACTCTGCCTTCCTGTCCCTGTCCCGGCAGCTGCAGTCGGCCGAGGCCTGGCGCCTGCTGTGCCACTCCAGCCTGGCCCTGCTCATCCTGTACAACCGCCGGCGTGAGTGTGAGGTCTCCAAGCTTTCCATCACAGAATACCACGCTCGCATCACTCCCCAGTGCCCGGTTCCTGTCCCACCGGGGGCCCCTCCCGCTCTCACTCCCTTAGAGGCCTCCCTGTCCCCCTTCGAGCGTCTGGTGCTTCCCCACCTCCCCAGAGTCGGGGTCCAGGGTAAACGAGGAAGAGTCCAGCCCCTCATCCTCCCGCCTCACTGCGAGCCCTGCCTGGAGCTCCTCCTGCAGACGCGGCAGGATGTGGGAGTCGACCCTGCAAACCCGTATGTCTTCGCCAGGCCGTACCACTCCCCCGCCACGCCGCTGCGAGGCACCGACCTCCTCCGCAGCCTGGCCCGCTCGAGTGGCACCCGCAACCCCCGAGCCCTGACCCAGACCAGGGTCCGCCGGCAAGTCGCCATCCTGACGCAGCTGCTGCTCCTGGGAGAAGGAGAGGAGCCCGGGCAGCCTGGAGGCAGCGCTGTGGAGAGGCTGGAGCACTTCCTGGAGAGGGAGTACCATGTGACACAGAACTGTGCTGGAATTGGACAAGACCCAGGCCTGATGGGCAGAGTGGGCAGAGTGGTGCTCTGCGGAGAGAGAGATGGAGTTCTCTTCAGAGGAATGAGCCTGAACCACATCTGCCTGGAACTGGACGGTGAGTTTTTCTAATTGAATGTGTCTGTTTCTGTGGTCCAAAACACGCTGTCTCTTCCCTTCCTTCATGGTGTCAAACATCCCCGGCTGGAAGAGGATTGCAAACCTTCTTCCAGTTTTGAAGGATGTTTTTCTGTGTGTTGACAAGCTGTTTGTTAAGGAAGAAGCAAAGCAGTGACAGATTTTTCTTCTACCTTCTCGCCTCCTCTCCAGTAATGTCAGGAAACTCTGCAGACTCGTACTCGGAGGGAGAGTCTGAAGGGGAGCAGACGAAGGAGAAGCCCGACGCACCCCCCCCTGCCCCTGCCCCTGTCCCTGTCCCTGTCCCTGCCCCTGCTCCCACCCCTACACCTACCCTGCTGTATGTCAGGAAGGGCAAGAACAACGGGCGGGTGGGCCGACCTAAGAAGCTGAAGAACAGCCAGCCAGCCCTTCCATCTGCTCCACCTTCCTCCACACACCACAGCCGGGACTCAGGACAGCCCAAATCAGGTTTGTTAAGGTTTTAATAATAGGTGTAGTTGCCAAATAATGATTTACCAAAACAAAGGAATGTAAATAAATATAAGGTGCATGTGAGATTTAAATGTACACTGCATTTATGTCCAAATAACCCCAAAATAGACTCAATACAAATTATAATGTTGAAAAAAGTGGAAAAGAAAAGAATAATATATTTGTGTGTGGAAAAAAGTAATACAAATATAGTTTTTATGACACACTATACTTTGACTTTTGACTCTATGACTTTTTAAATGACATATTATACTATAACAATGCTAAGTCATAAATAAAACTATAGCGTGTAGTAGTTAAATTAACTTTAAATGGTTAGCTGGTTGATCTAGTTAAAGCAAATCTACGAAACAAGTGGCCATGGTATGCAAGTCATAAAACACTGTGAGGTGTCTCTGTAAAAAAGACTGATGATAATGTGTTTTAGGAAACTATGCAGGAATCTAAAAAGCAGATCTTAAAGATATATATATATATATATGTAGACTGTGAGCAGTGGTGGGGGTCAATGAGAGGTATCACTTGCATTGTGTAAAATGACAGAAGCTGTTGACACACATGTTCACGTTTCCTCTCATCTCTCCTGTGTAGGAAAGCGAGGCGTCCTGAAGCGTCCCTGGTCAGAGGCGGAGCGGGCTGCGGTCGAGGAGCACCTCACCCAGAACATCACGGATCTCCGGGTCCCCGCGAAGGCTGACTGCGAGCGCTGCCTGCAGCAGTGCCCCCTGCTGGTCAGCAACCACCGCGACTGGAGGGCCATCAAGTTCTACTGCCACAATCGCATTCAGCTGCTGAAGAAAAACCAGCGTCGGGAAATCGAGCCCCTGGCCCTCATTGTCTGCTGAGAGGAGAGAGGGTTCGGGGAGGCATCAGAGCAGATTCTCAAATGGTACCCTGCTCCCCAGCAAATGCACTAGTCTTGAGAGGACGGTCCTAAAAGTTTCACTTCTCGTAGCCTGGTTTGGTTCTGACACGGCTTTTTCATTTGACACATGATGGCGTTTTTTTTATTTGAGCCACACAAGAACAGAAATCTGAATTAACTTTTTTTGCTGCTCTACTTTAAGGTCTTAAAAAAATGACACTAGTCTTCACAATGCTCCTCGTTTGAGGGACTTGTCAAAAGCGGAGCACTGTGACGGGTCCCGTTTGAGACTTGCGTTGGGGGACTTCAGAGACCATGACACTTGCTCATGATTTGTTGTACATGGACAATTTCTTTATCTCCTTCCAAAACGCATACACTAAAAGGAAATGTAATCAAAGGAGGCAGTGGAGCCTCACAGTGTTGCTGAACGTCGTGAAGTAGCATTAGTGTTCCATGCGCTCGGAGACGTAAATAGGACAAATGGCCCGTGCTGGGGCCACATGTTTCTTAATAGTGACTATATAACTAGAGTAGGCAATACTACTGCTAAGACTAACCAGATCTTCTTATACAACTGACTGTAGTTCTGACAATGGTTTTATTATATTTGGACCATGTGAGGTACTTGTGGAGGAATTAGTTGCTGTATTGCAGTTTTTATGAAGTTTAAATTTAAAGTGGAACGCAGAGTTTCATTAGAGAGACAATTAAACGGCCGCAGAATGTTGTGAAGTTACTTTTGGATACCTAAGATGTTTTGTTCAAATACAAAGTCCAGGAACATGAGGACTGTTTGGAAACCTGTTGCGCTCGACTCATTTTCCCCAGAGGAACAGTTGTTTCTTGTTTCCTTTTGTTTTTGTCTTTTTTCTGCCTGTTGCACATTTGTTATTCAAAGCAGTAAAAAAGGTGCTTTAGGCCAATAAGCTGGATATCACTTTATATGTAGAGAGGAGATTTCCCATGGTTGTGTTAGAAGTTTAATAATAAGTGGGCATTTATCACAGAAGTGATTGTTCTGTCTCCACGTTTATTGCATTGTCTGTGATGTCCTTCCCATCGGTTATAGCTCCTCCTGTCCTGTCCCAGCAACACTACACGGTTTGCAGCTCCACCACATTTTTGATTTATCTTCGGTGTCGCTTAAAATTTGCTTCCCATCGGACTAAAACCTCCATGGAATCTGAAGACAGATACTTGAAGTTATTTAAACCGTTTGCAGACTTGTTTATGTTCTTTTTTGCTCTTGCCTAGCCAGTTACATTGTACATAACAAATATATTATCATTATGCTAACTGGTTGTTCGTGCTAGACGATGTAGCTTTTTCCTTTCTGAGTTATTGCTATATGTAAATAAGCCTGTTTGTAAATAATCCTCAGAGAAACAAAGAAAAAACACAATGTATGACATGCCTTGGTTAATGTGTTATGTTTTTTCTTTTTTTATAAGTCTTATAAAAATGTAAAGCTCTACGTTTTGTGCTGTGGTTCTTTTTTTCCATAGCATTTATTCACAGTTCAGTTTGAAATGCTGTAGTGACTTGTATTGAATCACTTACATGTTTATAATGAATTTGACTGAAAAGATGCTATTCATGACCAGAAACACATTATGTACAGTTTTTATATCCCACATGCAGTTCACTGTAAAGCCACTTGGTGGAGGTGTTGCTTCATAAACCATGAACAGTTTTGAGAAGAAAAAAAACAAAGACCTTCTGAGAATACAAATTCCTGGTAAAGTGGCGCATGTTCAGGTTGATAAATAATATGTTCCTGTGCTGGATGTGATTCATATAGATCACTGTGAATCATCCATAGATATTCTATCTGAGAAAGCAGCACAATGTTATTCAACTTTATGTTGCTACTTTGTAGAGGACTTTTATCAGACGTCCCAGCTCAGTGTCCTTCGGATGAGATTCAATTTAAATAGATCAAGTAATGTAATGTAGGATAAAATACGAGTTTTAATTATTCCCCACGGTCAAACATACTTGTTACAGCAGTTTAACACACAATTATACACACATAGTATAACAAACAAAACCAAAAGGAATACCGTTACAAATTAAAAAGGGAAACGATAAAAAATAAAGCCATGTGCCTATAAACTAATTCCACTTATAAGAAACAAGAGAACAATAAAAACAACAGCTATAAACATATGTTCACATTGTTCCTACACAAGTGAGCCATGATGTTTAATTAAAAATAAACACACACACACACACACACACACACACACACACACACACACACACACACACACACACACACACACATATTGGAAGATGAACTGACTGCTGGAAAACTGGAACCACTTTTCTTCAGTCCTGTGTTTTGTGGTCAATTTGATCATCTCAACAGTCCCCTCCAACAGGGGTCACTGTTCAAGCGGACAAAGTTGAAGGGCTGGCGACAAATCTTATCCTAACATATTTGTTTCAAAGCCTATGACTCATACTATGTGGTTAACTTTCAAAGATGATTTCATTGCATGCGCTGAAAATCAATACATTAAATGTTCCAGGATTGGAAGTGACTTTAAGTCAAATTCAGAGAATTATGGCAATTTCCCTCTCAGTGGAAGTAGACTCTTCAGGCAACAGCAGTGCTTTAAGATAATTCCCCATGTCGACATGGCATCACGTTCACAGTTATTTATACAATTCACACAGATAAAAATGTCATGCTAGAATAAAAGTCAGTGGACCAGGTTTTAAAGATGTATCCTCTGGGAATCATGGACGTCTATTTCAGATTTTGACTACCTACCGGATGGATAGTCAAAAGGTCAAGGGGTCACCAAAGTCAAAATAATGCATTGATTGGGCATCATGGATATGTGCCTTTCATTTCATAACAATCCATCAAATATTTGTAGAGGTATTTCATTGTGAACCGTCTGGCACTGCCCTCCTTGAAGCACTCTGTAAAGGCCCTGTCACACTGTCCCGAAATTGACACCCGATGGACACACGAATATGGAATTGTGAATTTCGCACGAAGATGGCCCCGAACCACACACGAAGGCAACATTTACATTACATTTAAGACATACAACGGCAATGAAAGTACCAAAAACAATTATGTTACAGTACTATGATACTGTACTGATATCTTCAGACTTTGTTCTTTACTTTATCCGTCGTTATATGTAGAAAATATTACGTTTCTCCGTAATGTTGTTTCCATAACAACAACAACTTCCTGTCAACTGTCCTTCAAAATAATATATGATATCCTTTTTAGTTTCACAGAACACAAATTGGGTTATTTACATAATATATTTACATGATTTTGTTGTGCAATAAAACAACCCGATGGACACACGATAAAGGAAATGTTCAAATTCGGCTGTGATCGTAGCAACATCGGGCCATTCGTGAGGGCATCTTAAGCCATCGTATGACCGCTGGTGGAGTTTCTCAGGCTCCGGCAGCAACTTCGTGAGCGGTGGCAAAATCTTTGGCATGCCAAAAAATTGCCGAAGGACCTTGCGAAGGTTCATTTTCGTGTTGAATTCGTGTGTCAATTGTGCCCTTCGTAAGGCCATCGTGAGGGCATCTTGTTATCATCGGTGCCATCGGGCATTCGCCCCGATCAGAGTGAGGGCGAATGCCCGATGGCACCGATGATAACACGAAGATGACACGATTTGACAAGATGTCCTCACGAGTGCCTTACGAAGTTGCCGCTCACTAAGTTGCTGCCGGAGCCTGAGAAACTCCACCGGCGGTCATACGATGGCTCAAGATGCCCTCACGAATGGCCCGATGTTGCTACGATCACAGCCGAATTTGAACATTTCCTTTATCGTGTGTCCATCGGGTGTCAATTTCGGGACAGTGTGACAGGGCCTTAAGGGGGTTCACACAATCTAAATGTTTCCAAAATGGCAGCTAACTTTATTAAAATAATCTTTACTTTCAAATGTGCAAGTCTGTCAGAAGTTATAAAAGACAAGTAGGTTTTTCGAAAACTTGTTTCCTAGGGAAGCAAAACATTAACTATTTTACCCATACCTTAAAACAGGCACATTGCCTGCAGTCACTTTTCGATGGTACCTTTCTTTGTTCTTCCCTGTTTTATGAGAGCAAGTTTAAACATGTTATTGTCCAAACAATCAATAGCTGCTGATGTGTTTGTGTCTTGTGGATTTTGTTTGGCACCTTTTATGGCAAGCCAATTTAGCTTTTATTCATTTCTGGAGGATATAAAAAATCTTTTCTTACTAGTAATAATGTTTATTTCTGATATCAAAAATAGAATTTTAACTAGTTAGATTGCACATCAGAAATTCAATTGTAACTAGTTGTAATATGTATGTCTATTACAATCCTTTTTTTGATATCAGGAATTGAATTGAATTGTTATAATTACATTTTTATTTATAACTAGTAACAATTGAATTCTTGATATCAAAAAAGGATTTTGAACTAGTTCAAATTGTATTTCTGATAACAACAATTGAATTACTGATATCAGAAATTGGCATTTGAAGTAGTTCAAATTCCAACTCCCATTGAAATGAATGAGAAAAACGATGCAAATCTCACAAGTTAAAATCGCATTTCTGATATCAGAAATAAACATTATTACTAGTAAGAATTGAATTTTTGATATCAAGAATTCACATTCTTTCTAGTAAGAATTTATTTGTTGATATCCTCCAGAAGTGAATAAAAGCTAAATTGGCTTGCCATACACGTCTGGTGTTGTCTCCGGACATGTGAGGCAAGGCAAGCTGGTTTAGAAAAGGGATCGATAGAACGTGATCAAACATACTATTTGAAGATTGTTTTGAAACTGTGTAGTGCTTGTCTGTCAAGTAGCCTGGGCAAAGGTGTTGCATTTCATCCCACCAACTTCGCACACAACACTGCTGTTCAGTGTGACGGGTAGGCTACAATAAACCCTCCAATTGTGGGTTTTCAATGAGACTCCTTTAGCTAGACCTAGGCAACATTTATTTGTAGTGCCCGGTTCTGTCACCTTTACCTTAGCTTTCTTGTGGAGAGTAAGATGAAAAGATCAATATCACTCTCATGTCAGTAAATATGAAGCCACAGCAAGCAGCCGGTTAGCTTAGCATTAAGGTTCAAGGTTCTTTATTGTCAAACTAACATAGCTACAGAGTAATTATGTTGTTGAAAATCTTAGGTCACAGGCTTCTCCAACAATGCAACACAATTAAGACAAATATGCGAAAACAGCTAGCCTTGCCTTGCAGAAAAGTGATACAATCTACTTACTAACAACTCTTTAGCTCACTAACTAACACATTATATCCTGATTGTTTAATACGTACAAAAAACAAAGAAGTAAATATGACATTTAATGTTGAACAAGGGTTGTGTGCTATGTACCATCGCAACAGAGCCAAGTTAGCTGTTTCCTACTGTTGCAAAATGTATGCTAAACTAAGCTCACATGCTTCATTATTTACTGCACAGGGTGGTATTTATCAAACTCCTGGCTATAAAAATAATAGGTTTTCTTCCTAAAATATTTCCATCCAGGTTGCCTGGAGTTACTTTACTTTCAACTTGGCCTCTTGCTCTTAATTAAATGTGTTTACTGGCTGTGGTTATTATCTTATCATATCAATCTTGGTAGTTGATTAAAAGAGAAATGTTCATCCTTTTCCCTCCACATTTAATAACTGTTTATCGCAGGCTTGTTCCCCCAGGATCATCAGACACATTATTTTTGATTTCACCTCATACTGGGAAAACAACAATAATTGTCATTGTCATTGTGATGACTACATCTACATTACAAATCATGGCTTTCTATTCAAATCTATTGCAATGATGAATGGATAGCTGCAGTGCAATTTGACAATAAGCTCAGCTGGACGAAGAAATACTTTAATGAATAAGTCCTGCTTGCTGTGCTCTGTGTGCTACAGTGACAGGGACCCTGTTTTATAACTTGCCTAATCTGCAGAATTTATTAATATTTTTGGATTTTCTGAACCACCAGGACTGCCCTTCAGCAAGGTTTCTCATCTTTGGTCCAGAGTCTCAGGAGCTTAAGAGCGGCTTTGCTCAACTGACTGACTGCAGGCTCTGAATATATTATTGTTGCCTCAGATTCATTTAATGCCTTAAGGCTTAGGTGGATATGGACAGGCTATTTACTGTATGCACCTCGGTCTACTCATGTCAGTTAATTAAGAGATATCATCTTATTGTTACATTCCTTGATTACACACACACACACACACACACACACACACACACACACACACACACACACACACACACACACACACACACACACACACACACACACACACACACACACACACACACACACACACACACACACACACACACACACACACACTATTGGCGGTTTTTTCCATTTCATTCCTGTTTATATGTAAATCATTGCTGTTATATGTTCTGTTATGATATTCAGTGCACAATTCAACCTTTGGAAAAGCATAGATTCATTGTCTT